GGGAGAGAAAAAGAGCGAAAAAGAGGGAGAGGGAGAGAAGGAACGATCTGCCTGCGCTCCTCCTCGGGATATCTGGTCGGGCCTGATCCATAAATACACTTCGCCGTGTTAATTCCGTGTGCCGACCAAGGGGCCGAGCAACTACCGGTATTAACCGAGTCCACGACACGCGGTTACACCACGACGAGTAGTAGTTGGAAGACGCGCGGTGGCGACGGCGTGGCGGAGGGACGGCGGTGAGAGGGGAATAATCTCGAGCTCGGCCGTTCTACGTTGGCTGCAATTTGTCTTCGGGCGTTGGATAAAACGTCAACGGCGGTGTGTTATTTGTAATTTGGATAACGGTACACCGCTGCCAGAATCGCGGAAGGCATTTGTCAGCCGCGGCTAGAGTCGCAGCTTTGAGGTGAACACATGCACACATGTACATACATACGTATACCGCGATCAACCTAACATTTTGCCAAAAGTCGTCAGGTTTTTCATGACTTTTTGTGATCAGTGAGATATTAATCAAACGTTGCATTGCCTCGTTCCCATCAATCGTGTTAACGCTAAAGCTCGCGAGAGAATCGCTCAACGATCTGATTATGAGGAATTATTGTATAATACATCGACCTCGATCACATGAAATCGCGTGATGAAAAATAACAAAAGGGGTATAGGATTATAATTGAATCTTAATTTGAGGCCTGTTGTATTGTCATGAGAAAATGATCGTGGCAGAGACATGTGATTTTTGTATTATATTTCTCATTAATATATTGACAATAATTTCGGCAATCAATTAGCGCCCGGCAATCATTCATCAGTCTTTACGGTAACTTTTTTTTTTATCGTATCCGAATACATGATCTGTTAATTATTCGTCGCTACGTAATTAAAATTGATTCCTCGATGCGTATCGGCGGAGCGAAGCAGTTGTTTGGTACATTTGCATAATGGAAAAGTGTCGGAACAATAAAATTCCACATTCCATTAAGCTCCATGTGTGTGAGTGCCGTTAGTGAGTAGCGGTGGTGATTCGGCATTTAGTTATTTTCAATCTGGAGAGACGTGCGTGCGCGTGCGTGCTTGCCGTCGTCCAAGAGCAAAAATATTAACGAGAGTGCTCTCACAGAGCGCCCCGTCATCCTTGCAAATCTTCGCGTTGGCAAGACTGTAGACCATGTTCTCGCGCATATATAAGTCGTCTTCTTGGGCCTCCTTTGACTCGGCTAGCTTTCCTCTTTCCTCTTTCCTCTTTCCTCTTTCCTCTTTCCTCTTTCCTCTCTTCCGGGAATAAAACCGGGTGGCTGATCGCGAAGAGGCTCTCGACCGATAATGATTAATTAAAATAGCTGCAGCAACTCCTATACGATGAGCGATGTTCGCTCGGTGGACGGTTATGTTCTCCAATTATCGTGGGAATTAACTCTCGAACGAGGATGACAGTTTCCAGAAAGATATTATTCAGTTTTCACGCGCGGGCTCGAACATTTTCACGTAAAGCGCCGAGAGAATTCTCGTCGTGAGCGTAATTTGGTGAATCTATCGGGCCGTTTCGAGAGAGTTGTACGTGCAGAGGAAGGCTGGTACGGGCGGCTGCGTGACCGTCGCGGTCGCCGCGGGTTGAGAGCACCGGTGCGGTTAACCGCGGCAACCGCAGCGACCGGTTCGTAGCCGCCTGCCGGCGTGGCGCGGCGCGGTGCGGTGTGGTACGGTATGGTAGAGTGTCTCGCTCGTCGGTGCTTTTCGCGGTATATCGCGCCCTTCCTCTTCGCATTCCTTCGTCTTCGTTGCACTCTCGTGACGTACTCTACGCTCCTCGCGGCTTCCTTCCAATTCTCCTCCACCGGCATTCGGTGAGTACCGAAGCCGAGCCGAGCTGAGTCGAGCCGAGCTGCGTCGGGGACACGTAGAGGTATCCACGTAGCGAGCGAACACGCAAACTGGCAGGCAGGCGAGGCAAGGCGTAGCGAGGCAAGGCGGCTTCGCGTAAACCGCAGTCGACCAAGCGCGACCGACAGCTTCGCCAACACTCCACGGCACTACCTTATATTCCTTCTCGCCCCGTGAAAACAAGATAAAGAGCCGACCGGCGAGCTGACGGACGAAAGAGCGCCGCGGACCGCGGTTGTGGACGCCTAGCGAGAGGGATAGACTCATCTGGCGAGCACCGCATTGAATCGCGCAAAAAAGCGCACGATTCATGCGATAAATGGCACCATACATTCGTGCCACACATTCGTGCGCGCGCCGCGCTTCGTCGCGTATTTATTATATTTCATTAGGAAAATCTTTCTGTCTCTCTCTCTCTCTCTCTCTCTCTCTCTTTCCTTTTTCTCTCGGTCTTTCGCACACGTCGGTACGTGTCAGAAGTATATGGGGGACGACGTTTCGCGCATACGCGTATGCGTATTACCCATCCCGCGTTCTACGGAGCATGACAATGGGCTTTTCTAATCCTCCTTTGGATTAAGGGTCGAAAGCAGGGATGGTTGCACGGCGCGGCGCGGTGAGGCGTGTAGCAACGGCGAGCGTATGGCGTGGTAGGGCTAGAGAGAAAGAGGGAGAAAGAGAGAGAAAGAGAGAGAGAGCTCCAGGTAATGGGATCGACGTTTCGTTATGTTACTTTTCCATTCTCATCCTCGGCCTCTATACTCTAGTCGTCCCGGCCTCCTTTCCCGACCCATCCCACGCAACCCCGACTGCACCCAGCCTTCGGTGTCTCGGTTCGTAGGATCCATCCTACAGCGCCCTCCATCTCCTCCTCTTCATCCTCCTTCCTCCCTCGGGTCCGTGTTTTTCCTCGTGTGGCCCCCTATTTTTCATGTTTCGCTGCGGCTTCGCGTAGCACCTTTATTCAGTATAGGTACGTTCTCTTGTAGAGGCTCTGGGGGGAGGGACAGAGCGAGCGAACAATCCGCGCGGACGTCACGTATGTGCGTCATCTGAAAAAGTTGCCACGCCATTGGCCGAGGTCGCGTTTTCATTCGACTCTTTGCCGCCGTCGAGTCGATCGGCCGCGTCAGACGGTGATGCGATTGGCCAAGTGTCGACTAGAGCGGCGCCGATTGGTCGAGGTTACGATCACGACGGCAGAGTCCGCGCGGAGTCAGCGCCTTTACGAGGCGAGCGGACGATAGCGGCAATCAAGTAGGAAACTGCTTGGGACTGTGTGCCGCGCGATATTCACATAGGGGCACCCCCTTAGCACACACAATCGCGCGTACAGGATGGTACTCGCTACACACTCGTATCCGTGTACACACACGTACGATGCACGTACACACAAGGGTGTATACGAGCATACATATATATTCCGGTTATATCGCGTACGTGTACGTCGTGTATGTGTATCCTCCCCCTCTCTCGCTCTGTCGCTTTATGCGGAGCTACGTTGTATAGGGGTTGGGAAAACGGGTGGAGGCGCCATATTTGTGGTAGTGTGGGAAGTGAGGGAAATCACGAGTGGCGAGAGAGGCAGCCGGTCGACAAGCGGGGAAACGAGGCGCGGGGAAAAGCGCGACGGGGAGATCGGGAGGGAAGAGGGGGCGAAAGGGAGTTTACGCGGACATCCGTGTCAGCCCGGTGACGGCCATTTTGCGAAAAACTTTCGATTTGTTTGCACACGCCGTAGCGAACCCGGAGGAACGACTAATACCGACGCGTATGCTCGGCATGCCGCGCCTCTCTCCCTCGCCCCTCTCTCTCTCTCTCTCTCTCTCTCTCTCTGTCCATCCTCGTTTTATACCGCGCCGCGCGGCGTATCCATCCGTCCGCGACCGAGAACTTTTCGGTACTCCGGAATACTCCGATGGATCCCGGGCGTTTCTCCGCCTGCGAGAACTCACGAAAATCCAACCTCGTAGTCGGAGCACGGCCAACTACTCGTAGTGGAGTATTTCCTATCGTCGGGGATAACGACGCCAGCGAGCAACGAGTTTTTACTAATCATCGTCTCTCGTGAGATCGATATACGCCGAATCGCTTGGATTGCGAAAGGCGATTGTATGCGAATATTAGATCCGTCGCTCGCACTTTTTGCATTTCAATATCTTCGCTTTCTCTCTCTCTCTTCAACGTATATACATATATTTATCTCATTTTATGTACAAACATTTTTGGAAATTTCCAGCAATGTGAAAAGACCTATTATTTGCACGTGGTTCCGCGACGTTGTCATTGTCGCGGTGATAATGCCTTCACAGGCAAGTAAAAAAAAAAAAAGAAAAAACAAACGGCCGGTAATCGATGTCGATAAAGCGTCGATGAGTAAG